ACTGCAAGAGGTGAATCAGCAACAGCCTCATAATATCCCAGTTCTTGGTCCTCAGTACAAAGGAAGGAGCTAAAGTAGGGGAAGCCCTGAGATTTGAACAACATAGGGCTGGCTGTGAAAAAGGCGGAGGATGGAGGAGCCTGACCTCCTCTAAATTCACAAGAAGGAAGACCACCACCAGCAGCTGGTTTTCATGTCTTATTCCTATCAGATGTGCCTCCTCTCTCTTCAAAACTTTACCAATTCTGACTTTAACAGTCTCCTCCATCAGCACTCTCTCCTCTGCTGGGTTTATACTGGTTTATTTACAAAGTTCGAATACATTGTTTTTCACATCAGATCTTTTTCATTTCCTTCACCACCTCCATCTATCAAATTGTGTGACCCTATGCTTAACACCCCTGCCCATCCTCACCCCTCTGCTTTCACCCTCCCCCACACCTTGGATCCTCATACTCATACTACAATAATGGTTTTATATCACTGAGTTAGTTCACTCAGCATAATCCTCTCTAGTCCCTCCCAAGTTACGTAATAATTTACAAAATCATTACTCCTGCATGTTGTATAGTATTCCATTTTGTGAATGTATCATAATTTCTCAATCTATTTGATTATTGTTGGACATCAGGGTTGTTTCCATGTTCTTGTGATGGTGAATAATGCTGCTATGAACATTGGTGTACAAGTCTCCATTTGTGGCTCAGATCTTATTTTCTCAGGGTATATTCCAAGGAGTAGAATAGCTGGGTCATATGAAATTTCTATGTTCAGCTTTTTTAAAAATTTATTTTATTAATTTTAATGAACATTTACAGAGATTTTTAATTTCCCTTCATTCATTGTTGCACTTTTCCCCCCTGCCCACCCCTCCCCCACAGTTCACTCATTTTTTCGAAAACTAAAAGAAAAATGTCTTCATTGGTATACAATCCCCTCCCTGCCCCCAGTACACTCTACTGTGCAACCTTCATCCTGGACTCTTGTGATAACCATAATACCCTATCATATATTGCTTTTAAACTGTTCTCTCCCTCATCTGTTTCAATGTAGTATACATAATTTATCCAGTTTTTCTCAGTCTTACCCCAACCCTGATGTCAGTCTCATTCTCCAACAGTGGCACTATTTGTCTTTTTGTGACTGAGATATTTCACTCAGCATAATGTCCTCCAGAATCACCCATTTTGAATAATTTTGCATGAATTCCTTGGTTTTCAGTGCATCGTAGTATTCCATTGTGTGAATATACCACAGCTTCTCTATCTATTTGTTTGTTGATGGGCACTTAGGTTGTTTCCAACTCCTTGCTGTTGTGAACAAAGTCACGATAAACATGGGTGTGCACATATCTCCTTGGATGCAGTTATGGTTTCTTTGGTGTATATTCCCAGTAGTGGAATTGCTGGGTCAAATGGTATCTCTATTTGCAACTTTTTGAGAAAGTGCCACACTGCCTTCCACAGTGGTTGCACCATTTTACACTCCCACCAACAGTGAATATGGGTTCCAATTTCTCTACGACCTCACCAGCATTTGTTGCTTGCTGTTCGGTTAAATTTTGCTATTCTCACTGGGGTGAGATGATATCTCATAATTGTTTTGATTTACCTCTCTCTTAGAGCTAGGGATTTTGAATATTTCTTCACATGCTTGTTGGCCATCTGAATGTCTTCTTTGGTGAAGTGTCTCTTCATTTCCTGTGCCCATTTTTCAGTTGGATTATTTACCTTTATCTTGTTGTGGTTAATGTTCAACTTTTTGAGGAAGCAGCAAACATCCTTCCAGAGTGGTTGTGCCATTGTACAATCCCACCAACAATGTATAAGAGTTCCTATCTCACCATATCCTCTCCAGCATTTATTATTTGCTGTCCTGGTAAAAAACTTTGCCACTGCTACTGAAGTGAGATGGTATCTCATTGTGGTTTTGATTTGCATCTCTCTTATTACCAGTGATTTTTGAGCATTTCTTCATGTGTCTCTTGGCCATTCAAATATCTTCCCGTGTGAAAATCTTTTCCATGTCTTTTACCCATTTTGTTATCAGTCTTTTTTTGTGGAGGCCCAGGAATATTTTGTAAACTTTCCTTATGAGACTCTTGTCTGAGATGGTATTGCCAAATGTTTGTTCCTAGTTGGTAGCTTCCCCCCCCTCCCTGTTGAAAAAATTTTTTGATGTGCACAGGAATCTTTAGAAGGTCCCATGAATCAATTTTATCCTCTTCATATTGTGCATTTCTGGCTGTATTTGGCAGTATCTTTATAGCATATACTTGGCCTTCTAAGATTGATCCCAGTTTGTCTCTTATGAACTTTATGGTTTTGGGCTTTATGGATCCAAGTTTATTGCAGTGACCACAAAGAACTCAGAGATCACACTCTTGGGTATGGAGTTTGTTAGAGAATGTTACTATTCAGATTTAGAAACACTCAGGATATGGTTCTTTGATAAGGGTAGCCTATTCTCGCTGTATGCTCTGGCAGGCCTCACTAGTCCTTAGCTCTGCTCCCCACTCCCCAGGAGTACCTTGGGCTGCCTGGCCTCTACCTGCTTGGATAAGTGTTGAACAGCACTTTTAGCTCTGCCACTAAGATCTAGAATCACCCTACTCCACCAGTAAGGTTCTGCCTGAAGTGTTTGACTCTAGATCCATGGATTGGCAAAGTGCCAGGAGGCACCCCATTCTACCAGCGTCTCCAACTGAAGATGCTCAGCCTTCTCGATCCCTGGGTCCTCTTCTCACTCCAGTCTCTTGGTTCTGCCACCTTTGCTACTGCTTCTTGCTACATCTCCACTCCTATGACTGTCTCCTAGGTCTAAGAGGTTCTCAAGGCAGGGACCTTGGGCCCAAAGGATGTGTGCTCTGTTCCTGTTTCCTCTTCTTGGCGACAGTCACATGCCCCCTCTCTGTTTCTTTTTTTTTTTAAATTTTTTTTCCCCTCTCTGTTTCTAAGATGACTCATTTTAAGCCTAGCAGGACAGCGAAACTGACCAATCTCCTCATTCAGTTATCACACATGCTATTTGCATGGTTTCACTCTCACAAGTGGGCCATGTATGCTATTTGCATTATTAGGAACTTGTCTAATCCTTTTAATGGGCCACAAGCATTGTTGTGCATTGTTCTATCTAGTCATTTTGTGGGAGCACAAAGACTCTGGGCTAGAGAGGCTGTAGGAAGTAGTTCATTGTAGTAAGCTACCTCATATCCTAGTTTCCTTGGAGAACAATCCAATCTCCTCATATTTCCTCTAAGTCACTCATTTCTGCCTCTGAAAATTCCCTCTGGCTCTCTCTAATCTCTAGAGGGTGCAGGTATGCTTGAGATTTTCCTGATCCAAGTATATACTGCCTAGGAAAACCTGCGGGACAGTTAGTCTGCTATGAGTCGGTTCCGACGAGATGGCACACAACAACAACAATAACAACCACAAGAACAACAAGAAGGTGGACTGAGCCTATTCCAGGCCCCTTTGTCTCGTGCCACCCCTCATGGGGTCTAGCTACTCTAGCAGGAGTCAGACTCCAGGGGCCAGTCCCAACACTCATCAATGGAAGGAGATATGTGATAGCTCCTGAGATGGTTCAAATAAGCGAAAGCATTCAAGACTGTTCTCTGTCCAGGGAATGAAATAGTTTTTAACATGGGCCATTTAAAACTGAGAAAGAGGTGACTTCTAGGTATGATGCTGGACTAGGCAACCCACATCCTCTTCAACCAAGACACCAGCAAACAAAGGTAGGAGACACAGAAGATAATCCTGGGACCCTGTGTTTCCACAGAAAAGATAAAGAAGTAGATAAAATGCTGATTGAAGAAATAAATGGAATAAAACACTGAATAGGGACAGAGATGGAGCAGAGAGTATAAATGGTGTTGCAGCCATTTTGAATGGTTGGAGGAAGCTTTCTCGTCAGTGAGGGAACCAGGAAGTTGATAAGATCTATCCCAGCACCTGGCTGACAAGCAAGATATGATTTCCTCCTTGTTTCCTGTCCCCTCTCTGGGGACAAGGGCATGCTCTGCCCACACCACGTGGCAAGCAGTGTCCTGACATCAGGCTGCTGCCATGTTTGTGTCTGACACCTGACATGTGCACATTTCCATATTCACAGACTCAGTCTCTACTTCCATGTTCCCATAGAATGTGCCTGGTTCTGGACTGGTGGGGCTTCCACCTCTGAGTAGGGCCCTTGCCTCTGGCTGGCCACCCCTGTGGGTTCCATGCCTGGCATACAGCATGCCCACGTCTGGGGCACTGTACCCTCAGTGAAGTGGGCATTGGTTGGGCATCTTGGGCTGGCAGTGACTGTCTATTCACATCAGCAGAGTGTGCCATGTCTGGCTGGGTACCCTGTCTGCCCCCGTCCTCTAGACTGGCAAAGCACCACTACGAGTTGGTTCTGACTTGATGGTGCATTATAGCAGCAACAATACTAACTATTATAAAAAGCTAAGGAAAAGGGGAGCTCTGGTGGCCTAGTGGCAAGAAGTTGTACTGCAATCCCAGCGGTATGAGGTTCGAATTCACCAGATGCTCTGCCGGAAAAGGAGGGCCAATCACCTCCTGTACCTGTCAGATCTGATTGGACGGTACAGACACAAACAAAACTAACAAAATAAAAAAAATGTTTAAAAAAAGCTAAGGAAAGGTATATTCATTCTTATATGATTATCAAGGATGGGAAGGAACAGAGAGGGGAGTATAAACATCAATAAAGAGGTAAGAAATGTTAAGTGAGATGAGTGGAAAGGCAATATACACTGAGGGGAGGATTAGATATTAATAATTAGAAAATGAATTCATTCTAAAATAAAAGGTATATGTATGATTGATGAAATACCAATATGATTTTTAAGCTTTACTCAAATAACTCAGTAAAGAAAAAGAACTGGAGGAAAAAGGCTTTTTGGCCACTGAAGCTGAACGGACCTCTGGAATCTCCCACTGCATGTGTGTCACTTCTGTCTTCTGTTGCTTCTTTTTCACATTCTTTCACTCTTTTTCACTTCTGTCACCAAGACATGCTTCTATCTCGGTGACTGAAGACCTCAGGGTTTCTTTTCTCTTAGGCCCACGACCCCGCGGGTACTTTGTCCAGTAGGCCAGGCAGTGGCGGGCGGAAGAGCGGATGTCCCGACTCCACAGGGCATAGATGATAGGGTTGACCATGGAGTTGACAAGGCACAGAATGGAGCAGAAGGCAAAGCCCTTCTTGACCTCGTCGCTTAGTTTGGTGGCCAGGCTGTAAGCCATGAGGGCCAGTGCTGGGGACCAGCAGATGAGCAGCACAGCCAACACCACCCCCAGGGTCTTGGCCAACCTGAGGTCCAGTCTCATCCCAGGAATTTTCAGCATCTGCACATTCTTGTGCTGAGTCAAATTACTTACATGCTGATGGGCTTTCCAGAGGACTTGCCCGTAGGTGTAGATGATGACAGAGAAGAGGCAGACGACGAGCAGGAGCCAGCTGAGGAGGTAGCTGCTGGGGATCAGTGGGAAGAGCTCGGAGCAGGCGCTGGGGCAGCACGTCCAGCCCATGAGGGGCAGGTAGGAGACCAGTGCTGCGAGGAACCACATGACGCCCAGCGTGACCAGTGCCCGCCTGGGGGTGAGGAGAGTTTTGTATGCGGGCGGGTGGTGCAGGCAGAGGAAGCGGTCGACAGCGGTGAGCATCAGGCTCCCCACAGAGGCTGTGAAAGCCATGGCCACACTGCCTATTTTCAGCAGGAAGACAGCTCTGGAATCCGTACCATTGAAGACGTGGAAATGTATAAAACTGCAGGCGAAGACCACACTGGCTAAGAAGTCAGCTCCAGCCAAACTGCTGAAGAACAGATATGAGGGCTTGGCACGGAGCTGGTGGGTGGACAGGATGAGACAGAACACGGCCAGGTTTTCCAGGGAGCTCAGCAGCCCCAGGAAGGTGCATAGGACTGCAACAGCCACTCTTTGGGGACTGGTCAGGATCATGTACTCCTTCACGATGTTAAAATTCAAGCCATCCTTAGAGACATTGGTATCCATGAGGCATTGCTCCATGAGATACATCCCTTGGTTTTAATTGTGCTTTCCAAGAAGACTGTTGGAAAAGTAGAGACAGAAAAGAATCCTTTTCAATCAAAACAACAATTACCTCATGCAGTAAATATTTCAGTTAAAAGGCCTTACTTGCATGAATGGATCTTATGTTCAAATATCAATTTAGGTGTCATTCCTCTGCATTTTGTCCTTTCTTCATTCAAGAGAACTTCCAGGACGGTAATGATTTCTTCAGAGCATGTATGTAGAGCACTGGAAGCAGAAAGATCTTACAGGCTTTTTGGCCTTTCATTTTCTAAGAGTCTAACCGCAAGACTTCCTTTTGAAATGAAGGGAAGTCTTCAAGGGCCAGAAAGCAAAATGAAATCAGAACCAAGAAGAAATAGAATCTGAAATCAAAAGGCCCAGAGTTTTTGGGTTTTTTGTTTTTGTTTTTGTTTGCATTGATGTTTTGTTTGTTTGCAAATTTTGGTAAAGTTCTGAAGTCTTAACAACTGTTTAGGGCTGGGACCTTAGATACCAGGTGGGAGGGATGCCTGATAAAATGTAGGAGTCCAGATACATGTTGGTGAAATTTTGTCTCACATACTTTGAGCATGTTGTTAGGAAGGCTCAGTTCTTAAAAAATGACACCATGTTGGGAAAGGTGGAGGGTCAGGGAAGGAGAGAAAGACTTTCTATGAGATGTGTTGACACAGTGTCTGTAACCTTGGACTTGAGTATGATGGAGCTGATGATGATGGTGTAGGTGATAGATGGTAGAGCTAGAGTAAGATCTGTTGTTCTTTGGGTTGCTATGAGTCACAGTCAACAAGATAGAACTTAACAATAACAGTTATATTTGAATGTCAGATGAACAACAAAGAATTCTTTAGTATAAATGTCTAATATATTATGTTCTCTACTCCTTACCTTACCCTCCAAAAAACAAAACCAAAAGTAGCAAACTTTCAATTTTTTTAGAGGAAATCTTTATCCGGGTCATACATGATTTCAACATATGAGAACTCATGGGATAATGAAACCCCAACAATCCTGTTATTATGATATATATTCTTTTTTAAAATTTTAGAGATATTCTTTTTTTAAAATTCCATGTGGTCCTTAGGGAGTTTTGCTGCCAACCGTAAGGTGGCGTCTCTCTGGCAGCTCCAATCCACTTGTTGGTCCGAGGGAGAAAGCTGGGCAATGCCTCTCTGCCATGCTCAAGTCCATGGTTACAGTCACTGTCAATGCATCTCATGAGCGATTTAAAGCCTCTGAAACCCCCGATGGGTCAGCTATGAGTTGGTTCCTACTCAATGAGAATGAGATACACTCAGAAATTGTGTTCCATAGAATTAGAGAGAACTCATGGACAGAGTTAAAGCTGAGTTGAGAAAAATGAAGAGTTAATGGGATTCTAATAGCATCTGAACTTCCATTTTCTGCCCAGACTTCCTGCTTCCTTGTGATCTTAAATCAAGAAGTGGGAGACCACTCTATGATGAAAGATTAAGCATGACAACACCACTTCCTGCAACACAGAAGAACCCTGCTTGCAGGCTTATGCTAACCTGAACAAATACCTCAAACTCATTGCCATCTAGTCAAAACCCATGATAACTGGTCCTCCACTGGGTTCCTGAGATTGTAAATGACACATGAGGAGATGGCTCACCTTCTAGCCGAGCGGCTGGTGGATTAGAATGGTTGGGTTAGAAGCATGACACCCTGTGGACTCCACCACTGGAGCTCCTAAGATTAACTCATTGTCCACAAAATGGGGTGGTGTTTTTTTTTCAGAACCACAGACTTAAGTCAATGTCCTAAGAGTGCAAAATGCCTCACACAGTGAAGAATAAGTACTTTTCACAAGGGGAATAAAGGATGCAGCTCTCGCACATGGAAAACTTATGCACCATAAGGAGTTACACAATCGTGACATTCCAGAATAAGTCACACCAAGCAACCCCAGAAGTCTTTGCAATAGACTTCAACTTGAACCTTGCTTCTGTGCACACTCAATTATCACAACTGTTCTTTTCTCTCTGCCTATTCTCAAAATTAGACAATTAACACCCTTGGTACAGCAGGCAGGAAATAAGAAGACATATTGCCCTGGGAAAATCTGCAGTTAGGGACCTCTCCAAATTATTGAGGAGCAATGATGTCAGTTTGAGGACTATGGTGCATCTGATCCAAGCCATAGCCTTTCTGATTACTTGCTATGCATCTGGGAGCTGCATAATTAATAAGAATGACATAAAAAGAACTGACACCTTTGAGCTGTGGTGTTGGAGAAGAGCACTGAACATCTCATCCCATGGACACCCAGGAGAACAAATGCATATGTCTTGGAGAGGGTGCAGCTGGAGTGCTCTTTGGAGGCATATTACTAGGAGGGACTATTCCTTGAAGAAAGACATGATGATGGAAAAGGTGGAGGGTCGGTGAAAGAGAGGAAGACCCTCAACTAGGTGTATTGACACGGTGACTGCTGCAATGGGCTCTTGTGTGTCAGGAAGTATGAGGATGGCGCAGTTAGAGCAGGGTGTGGATCTTTTGTTCATAGGGTCACTATGAGTCATACTTGACTTGAGGGCACCTAACAACAATCTAACAACAGCGTACAAAATCAAGGGCTACCATCTCTCAATGGAGAAAGACTGAAGGCATTTTCTTTGCAAACAGAAACCAGTTAAGGCTAGAAGTAAGGTGTTGCGCTGTTAGCTGTGAATGGCTTGCAGTTCCAGGACACCAGCTGTGCCATGGGAGAAAGATGGGTTATCTCCTTCTGTGAGATTCGCTGCCTCTGAAAATCCGCTTGAGGGTCAGCTATGAATTGATTTTGACTTGATGGTACACCACCACCACAATTCAATATTGTACTCTAAGTCCCAACCAGAACAGTAAGACGAGAAAAGGAAATAAAAGATGGATCTCTTGCGCTTCTTAAATCATCTCCTGCACTTTTGCAAGCCTTTTGGTCTTCTGTCCTCAGCCCTAAAATGAGCTAATTGAGAAAATTCAAACTTACTGCTTTCGAGTTGGAACTGACTCATCAAACAGGTTTTTCAGAGGCTATAGATAGCACGGGAGGAGACTGCCCATCTTGCTCACTCAGAACTGTCATGAGTTCAAACCACCTGCCTTTGGGTTGATAGCAACTCCCTACCCAGTAGGCCACAAAGAAAATGGAAAATTATCTCCGTTTGCGATATTGGTTACCCATGGCGGTCAGTGTTTGGTGGAGCTCCCTGATTAAAACAAGCTTGGAAGCAGGAGTGGCATCCACTTCTGAAATAGCTTGCCTCTGGAAACCCTATGAACCTGGAGAGAGGATGAAAGTACATAGGGTCGCTATGAGTTGCCTACCACTTGACGGCATTTAACAATAACAACAACAACGACATCTCCATTTGTAGAGAGTATGAAAATATTTCATATAAACAGTTTTAGTAGTTAATAGCAGCAAAACTTTGAATTTTGGGGTTTTCCCTCCTTTTCTTTTCTTTTTTTTTTTTTTAGAATTTCAGTTTCTTTTATTACTCCAAGGGAGCTAAGGAACAATTAAAGATAGCCACATAAGTAGAAAAGATTGCACCTGGTCTACCTGGCTTTTTTCTTTTCAAAGATTTTGTAAAAGATTTCATTTTTCTTTCTGAGCTCACTCGTTGCTGATACTACAAATGAAGGCAAATAAAGTTCACGTTTCTAGCTATATACTTCCCAGCTTCATGTGTCATCCTCTGTATTTTTGTGTAAGTAGGCATTCTACTGTAAGGCTAGACTCTTCTTTAGGCAGTGAGAACAGTCAATGGCTCTAGACATTTATTCCCGAGCAGAGTGTATCATATGTGCTATCCCAGGGAGGTCAGCTAAGTGCTTGTGAACTAAGCCACTTGATTTGTTAGGTGCCAGGAAATGAGCCCACTCCTCTGAGCTTGGGCTGCTGTCCCTGTCCAGGTGAGGTGTGAATGGCAGGGCCCTCCGTGCAGTGCGGTGCCCATGCCAGGCTGGCGGGTTCTTTTTCTTTCCAGGGGACAAAGTAACAAAGAAACCATCTTAATGGAGTGCCAAAAGAGGATCCCACTTCCTGGTACCAGGTTTTGAGGTGTTTGTGGACTATGTATGCAGCTTTGCTCTTGGCAACAAGCTGGGCAGAGATGCTTCTAGAATCTGCTATATTCCTGTCAAGGTTGGGGGAACTCCATGCGTGGCATAAAAGGGTCAAAACCGAATCTATCAAGTTTAAAACCTCAAGCTCATTTTGGCTCTCACTTCATCAGGGAAGTGGGGCTGCTATGTTATTGTCTGTTCTTCCTTGCCTTAGTATTTAGGGGTAGTTTCCCCTCCCCTAAGCAATAAAGGGATCTTAAGCACCATACTGTTGAAATAGAAACATTTCCAATACTCTAAAAAAGACCCACAAAGGCTTGTTCTAGGAGTGGGTTGAGTGGACTTTGGCATCAGGCAACACAAAGATTTTACTCAGCTGGATGATTTGAGAAGTTTTACCAACATTTCTGGTCTCTGAGACGGTAACAGCTTGTCTTTCCTTCTGCAGGTAGGTGATTAAAGCATCAATACTATATGGTAACAGAGAAACAGCTTCGGAATTTAACATGATATCATCACTACAAAGAAACGAAAGAACAGAAAGAGGAAAAAGGACCAACTTTTTAGTAACTGTTGCGTTGAGTCTGAACGACTCTTAGTTGACCTTCCAGTGGCTTTTTAGAGGCTGTAAATCTCATCAGAGGAGATTGCCTGTCTTTCTCCCTCAGAGTCTGTGGATTCGAACCACTAGCCTTTAGACTGGTAGCTCAACTCCTTACCAGTAAGCCACGAGGGAGCCTTTAGCAACTACACTATGGCAAATGGTGGAGCTGTGCGCATGTTTCTGGCACAGACCCAAGAATGTTTACTGCAGCCTCTTGAGTAAAAAGAGCCCAGAGACATTCCGAAGAACATATTAGCAAGTAGCACGCACGATGATTATACGTGCCTCCGCTTTA